CATAATTTTATACTTTTATACGTGGTCTATAATCTTTTCATGTGTTTTATGTTTATTATGAAGGTTGAAAGTTTTTCCCTATGATGTACCACTTTGCCAAAAAGTATCCTTCTGTGGTTGCAATTGACATTTAGGTGATTTTATTTATTATAAACAAGTAAATATATTGGAAAATAAATTTGGAAATATTAAAACTTGAATTTCCGAATTGTGACTTTTTTCCCTCTTGTAGAAGAAGGAAGCCCCTTATCCTAGATCAGTAGTTTTTTTAAGTAACAAAGTGTCAATAAATTCAGGACATCATTTAAAAAAAATGCCTACCTACCTTATTTTAATATACCATATTAAAACATATATATAATGGTATATTAAAATAAGGTAGGTGGCGTTCTTTTTTAAGGTAGGTGGGCATATATACATATATATGTATGAGTGATCATTTGCCAATCTTGTCATTAGAATAAGGATTTTTTCCTCAAGATTATGAGTCCATTGACTGGCACTGGACTTCTTGTTGTGTGTGAACCACAACCATAATACATTGCAATGAAGACAACAGTCTAAAGCAATCTTAAGTCAGAATACATCTAGGTTTTTATGATTTTTATTGTTTGATTTCTTTATAATGGTCAGACATACCTAATTTAAGAGGTTTTTTTTTAGAAGCTTTTAATTTTAATTTCATATATTGTCAGTTTATGTATTATTAAATTTGTAATTACATTAATAAGCATAGGTTTACAACACATACAAAGAACCCATATTTCCTCTTAGTAAACATAATAAATATACATGTGTGAACACTTTAGGAAATAATCTCATTCTTGACAGTTCTGTAGAGGGAAAAAGGAAGAATCTTTAAAAGGTCTATTAAGAGAGCTACTTTGCATTATTTTGACTACATTTTAAAACCTATACAAATTCATCCATACATGGATATATGAAAATAACACAAAACCTGAGGAAAAAAGAAATGGTTTGAGAAGTTTACCTTACAAAAAAAGACTACCTGAAAAGCTTTACTTTTTGCCATTCATACATGGGATTGTTTTTGTCAGAAAATAAGAGAAAGTTTTGTCTTTCTTCACTGGTAATTAGAAGTATGAGAGGGAAAAAAAGAAATAGGCGGTACAGCCAATTTGGAAAACTGTTTACGAATACTTATCTTGTAAATTTGAACATAATATTTATAAGCTGTGATCCACCAAGCCCATCCTTAGGTGTGCACCCAGCAAATAGGGGTGGGTGGGTGTGTATATGTGTGTTGTGTGTCTATGTATAAGGGGAAAAAAGGGGGGTAATATGTAGATATCTATATTCACTAAAAGATACGTACAGGAAGGTTTCTAGCAGCATTATTGGTAGTGACCCAAAGTTGGAAACAACCTAAGTGTCAGTGAGCAGTAGGAGGAATAAATATGCTGCAGCATATTTAATGGAAAACTATATAAAGCAGTGAGAATGCAGAGATTACAACATGCAGCAATGCTGGTATATCTTACAAAACCTAAAGGCCAAGAAAATACCTCGCATATAAAAACGCACATCACTTTTTTTGATGTTCAAAAACAGGTACAAGTTAGCTACGGTGTTAGATAATAGGTACCTTCTCTGAGAGAGCACGGAAATATTACAGGAAGGGAGTACACAACGACTTCTAAGATCCTGAAAATACTGTTTTTTTCGGGGTGCTGTTCTCTGAATGTGTTCTTTTTTGAATTACACGTTTGAGATACGTGTACTTTTTACTATTTATGGTATACTTCAAAAATTGTCAAAAAATTAAAAGAAATGTCACTTTATCTTATGTAACTAATATTAACTAGATAAGACATGTAATAAAAACACAAAAAAATGAGTGGAGCTCCAAATAAGGATTTAAGGAAGACTTAATGGTGGAATCTATCAAAAAAGGAAATAAGACCTAACAACTTAAATTGTACCATCTGTAGCTAATTTAGTTAGGAAAACTCATTTCAGCCCAATTTGTTATATTTGCATACTTAGTACTTGGATTATGCAACCGCTCAGAATTACTGAATAAGAATATAATTATAAACCATAAATCATTTTATCCTAGTCCCTTATAAGGTAATCTGTATCATCCTTCTCCTTTTTAAGTCTTTTTTTTTTTTTTTAAATATCAAGTTCTAGTCAAGATAAAATACTGTTTAAAAATTAGGTGAATGGCTTGGCACCCGTAGCTCAGCAGCTAGGGCACTGGCTACATACAGAAAGGTTGGTAGGTTCCAACCCATCCCAGGCCTCCCAAACAACAATGACAACTACAAGAGAAAAATAGCTGGACATTGTGACAGGTGCCGTAGTCCCTGCTCCTGGGAGGCTGAGGCAAGAGAATCGCTTAAACCCAAGAGTTTGAGGTTTCTGTGGCATTTTGCCAAGGGTGACATAATGAGACTCTGTCTCAAGAAAATAAAAAATAAAAATTAGATGAAATTATACTTTATTAATGTATTTATTTATATGTATAATATCCTTAACCATTGATTTCACCTGTTTGTCTGCATCATTTGAAAGGAAAAAATGATGAAAGTATTCTGGTATATATTTACTCAATTTATTAACATATAATAGGTAACAAAAATCTATTAGAAAAAGATCAAAAGAATAGAGATTTTAGGTCAGTACCTGTGGCTCAGTGAGTAGGGTGCCGGCCCGATATACCGAGGGCAGCAGGTTCAAACCTGGCCCCGGCCAAACTGCAACGAAAAATAGCCAGGCATTGTGGTGGGCGCCTGTAGTCCCAGCTACTTGGGAGGCTGAGGCAAGAGAATCGCCTAAGCCCAGGAGTATCACCTTAGCCCACGGCACTCTACTAAGGGTGACAAAGTGAAACTCTATCTCTTAAAAAAAAAAAAAAAATAGAGATTTTTTAAACCCACCTTTTTCAGGTCCATTAAGTTTTTAAGACAAATCCCCTCTGTTTCAATAGTGGCAAAATAAATTCTAGCCCAACACTTTATCATGTAAAAATCAATAGGGAATCTCAGCACTCTGGGAGGCCAAGGCAGATGCATTGCCTGAGCTCATGAGTTCCAGACCAGCCTGACCTAGAGTGAGACCTCACCTCTAAAAATAGCCAGGTGGTGTGGCAGGTGCCTGTAGTCACAGCTACTCAGGAGGCTGAGGCAAGAGAATTGCTTGTGAGCTGACAGCACTCTACCAGGGGAGACAAAGTTTAAGACTCTGCCTCAAAAAATAAATAAATAAATAAATAAATAAATAAATAAATAAAATAGAGAAGAAAGATGGAGTTGCCATAATTAATAATCTCATTCAATGCAGGAAATGAAACACAATTACGTAAACTCTTGGTAAATGTGATCTCCTACTTTAATTAAATTGTAATTGTTTCCCTTGTATTCTGAATACAGATGAAGAGTGTTGATTTGGCAAGAGAAAAGAGTGTGCTTCTAAATGATTTGATCAAATAAATAATCATTTAGAAAAACAGTTGTTTTAGTTTACATGTAACTATGATGTTTCAAGAATTGGAGCCCCTATAATTTCTACAGTGAAGAAAAATATTTGAAGTAATGTGGTTTGGCGCAGAATAGTAGCATTGTCCTATAAATGTCTACTTTCTTTAAAATAAATATTTGCCTAGACATTGAAAATATGTTCTTGGAGTTTCTTGAAATTGTTTTTTCGCCCCTAATGAGATATGAACTACAAAGCCTAGAAGAAGCCCATGGCATTCTAATGAATGTGTTCATTCTTAAGGACCATAATTCTGTGGGTACTTTGCAACCACCCACTGACTTGTCACCTGCTGTGCTAACTCTGTGCCACTCTGTGTGCCAGCACTGGCTGAGTGTGAAGAATGAGCAGAAAACAAGCAGTCTGGATTGGGAATAGCAATTCTCACAGAAAAGTACTATGAATGAGATTTTTGAGTCTAAATGCTCCTCTGGGGCTGAGGAAGCAATTGAGATGGAGAGCCGTGTCAGTGAGCAAACTGGTTCTTGTTATTGTGGATTTGTGACTATTATGGAGAGGGAGAGGGGGAAGAACCAAGTGCCTGTTCTTTTAGCCCATCTTTAACCTGGTAGCTATCAAGCTTGGCCATCTTTGGGAGAAAAAACTGAAGAAATAAGTCAAATCAGAAAAGGTATAAATAGGTAGTAGCCACTGGGAGGGAAACCCAAAGGTAAAAGGAATAAGCAGTACGGAAAATGGCTAAGTCACTAAATTTATGTCACTTCATATTGGCTTTTTTATGTTATTTTGAAAATGGGGAGCGCTGCCTTGTGTCTATTAGATGTATATGTGTGTGTGGTGTGTGTTTGTAAGCAGCCATGGCAGGAATTATTAATTGAAATAACCACTGAAGTAGGAATGTAACCTGATTAGAGACTTAGAAACGTTAAGATTTTGCCCACAAAATAAAGAGTATATAAATAATTTAATTTGATTACTGTGTGACAGTGTTGCTGTGTTAGATTAATTAGAGAGAAAAGGTATGTTACTCTTTTTTTAGGATTGAGAATGGTAAACTTGGCTCGGCACCTGTGGCTCAAGCGGCTAAGGCGCCAGCCACATACACCTAAGGTGGCGGGTTCGAATCCCCAGCCCGGGCCCGCCAAACAACAATGATGGCTGCAACCAAAAAATGGCCAGGCGTTGTGGTGGGCACCTGTAGTCCCAGCTACTTGGGAGGCTGAGGCAGGAGACTCGCTTGAGCCCAGGAGTTGGAGGTTGCTGTGAGCGTGATGCCATGGCACTCTACCCAGGGGGATAGCTTGAGGCTCCGTCTCAAAAAAAAAAAAAAAAAAAGAGAATGGTAAACTTAAATTCTTCATACTACTTTCACATTTTCTAAAAGCAGTGTTATTATTTTCTTTTAAAAATACATATTAAGTACAAATACCTGTCTTAAAATCTATAGTTAATAGCTTTGAATAAATTCATGGAACTTTCATGTTTTTAGTAGTGATACATCAAGAATATTTAACATTATACTCCTATTCTTTTATTAGGATTTGGAACTTGGAAGGAGTACAGACAGCTCATTTTGTTCTTCAGTCTCCTGGCATGAGTGTATGCTGGCATCCTGAGGAAACTTTTAAGGTGATCATTTATAACAGCTTTCGTTTATCAAACTAAAAAGACATATACAGATATAATACATACACACATTGATAACTTTCTCCACCTCAGAGATAGTAATTGGCACAGATTCATTTGGACTAGTCTAGAAATCTGCACTTTAAAAGTTTCTTTATAATTGTTAAAGTTTTTATTTGACAACCATCATCCATAAATGGCATTGATTCAGAGTGCACTTTTCCTGACCTATAATAGACTTCAGTCTGACATCTGATGGTCAATCTAGTACTAGTGGGCAGTTTAAAAAAAAAAGTTACATTCCTACTTGTGAGCCATAACTTACAAACAGAAAGCATTAATGGCATAAGGCAAATTTGCTTCAGCTGTAGTAGTATTCAATTCCTATTCAAGGGAGACCTTTATAAAAGACTAAAAATACGCTATAAGTTTTTACCATTAATCACTCTTAATTTTTACTTCCTTAGGAAGGCAGTAATCATTCAAGATGGAGTAGTAATCATTCAACAGGGATCTTCTCTTGAACTTCTACTGTATTTATTTTGTCTTTTGCTAGAATTTGAGACGTTAGCACATTCATCTTTCTTAAAGTTAATCCTTTAGCTGTTCTCTGGAGCTCATGTCAGTTCCTTAGGGTGCCTTGCTTTCACAAGTTAGGTTTGATTAATCGTAGCAAACATGTAGTGCTTATCTATGCCAGTCCATTGTCAGCATTTCACTTGTCTTAGCTCATTGAGTCCTTGGTGACTTTATGAGATAGATACTATGATCGTGTCCATTTTACAGATAAAGAAACCAAGGAAGGCTCAGAGAAGTTAAATACCCAAGGTCACACATCTAGTAAATGGAAGAATTGGCATTCGAACCCATTTGAACTAAACTAAATGAGTGCATTGCATGTATTCTCTCATTGAATCCCTACAAAACACTGCGAGGTCAGTAGCATCATTGTGTAGATGAGAAAACTAAAACACCAGAAGATTAAGTAATTTGCCCACAGTCACATGGTTAATAGATGTGAACTCAGTCTGGTTTAAGTACTACAATGTTCTGTGCTACTTAAAATATTTTTCCTTGGAAATTCAGTGTTTACTACTATTTATGGTTCTGAAAAGTCCTAAAGGGAAAATTTCCCCCATAACGTTTTTAGATTCAGCAGTTTCCAAACTTATTTAACTTTTTTACCCCTCTGCTCTTTCTCCAAAAACAGTTGAACACAAGTTCAGAAGCAGTAAATAACAATGCGAAATTTTTGTTGGAACTGAGTTTTCAATCTTACTTCAACTTGTAATAATAACTAACGCTTTTTTTGAGTGCATACTCTGTGCCAGAACAGTTCTAAGTCCTTTATGTGTGTTAACTCATACCATTCTCTCAGTAGTCCTATGAAGTAAATACTGATATTAGCCCCATTTTAGTGGTGAGAGCCTGAAGCACACAGAGGTAAGTAATTTGTGCAAGATCACACTGCTCCTAAAGGCAGAGCTGGGATCCACCCAGGCAGTCTGGCTGTGGAGGCCACTTCTTACCCATAATGCTTTACTGCCCTCCTACCTTAGGACCTGGGCCCAGATAGACTTACCCTTCCGTAGTTCATAAGTTATACCTGAAATCCTCAAGATTTTTTGAGTCAGCCTAAAAATCCCAAATAATATTTACTAGGTCCTATAAGTTTTCCTTGATCTCTTCCCATTTCTAATCCTTCCCACCCCAGACTGCAAATCTGACAGTTCATGAACGCATCCTAGAAAAATGGCTGCATGTCTCATTGCTGAATTTCACTTTTGAAGTACTCCCTTTGAGAAGCCATGGCATCGATACCAGCGTGTGGTCCACCCATCAAAGCAATTTTAGAACCTTTTGTTTGTTTGTTTTTTGGACTAGCCGTCAGAGCTATCATTATATTACCCTTGATGTCTGGAATATCATCAAAATGTCTTCCGTTCAATATTTTCTTTATCTTTGGGTAAAGAAAAAGATGACTGGGCAGGCAGCACCTGTGGTTCAAGGAGTAGGGCGCCGGCCCCATATGCCGGAGGTGGTAGGTTCAAAACCCAGCCCCAGCCAAAAACTGCAAAAAATAAAAAAGATCACTGGGTGTCAGATCAGATGAGTGAGTAGGAGGGTGTTCCAATGCAGTTGGTTTCCTGCTAACATCTCTCTAACAGGAGTGAGAGCTGATACATTGTGATGGAAGAGCCATGAGTTGTTGGCGAAAAGCTCAGGTCATTTTCATGTAATTTTTTCACACAGCCTTTTTAGAACTTCCAAATGGTAAACTCGGTTAATCATCCAGTTGGTACAGATTCATAATGAACAATCCCTTTGGTGTCAAAAAAGGTTAGCAACATCATTTTGACTACTTTGACACTTTGTTTCAGGGTTGTATTGGTTCACTCATGTTTCATCACTAGTGACGGCCCAAAACATCTTTCTCCCACTCTATAAGGTCTTGGCAAACTTTGACTCTCCTTTTTCTTTTCTTTTTTTTTTTTTTTTGGTTCTTCAATGAGCTCCTTCAGAACCCTTTTTGCACACACCTTTCTCATACCAACATTTTCCGGTTTCTCTATTGATGTTTACTTAGTTGGCTATGCTTCTCGTAGCTGATTTTGATGTACAATTTGATCTGAATTTTTGCAGTGTTTTCTTCAGTTCTGCTCATTACTGGCTACCCTCACCTTTCTTCAGTGACACTTTCTCTCCTCTCAGAAAAACATTTACTCCATTTGTACACTACCATTTTCTTTATGCCATTATCCCCAAACTTGGACTAACCTGTCCCTGATTTCACTTCCACTCTTGGCAAGTTTAACAAGAAATTTACTGTTTGCTCAGTGCCCTAATTCAAACTCCGATAACAAAAACACACAACAGTAATGAATGCCATTCATCAAGACACCTGCACACGCAGCTGTGACACATCACTATCCCATGGTTATGAACCTTACCAAGTTGTTTATATGGTGTTGCCAACGTAAGCACACAGAGACAAGCTCACAGACTTAATTATCAGACCTCACGTAGCACACCACAAACCTCCTCACCAGTCTTCAGCAGTCTAGCCTTGTAGGAAGAAATAATATGTGCTGTATAGTTAGACCTGGGCTGAAATCCAGGCTCCATCATAGGTTAGGCTTGAGACTTTGAACAGGTTACTTTAGTCACTCTGAGACTCTGTTTCCTCATCTGAAAAATGAGATTAATGATAGTAATTTCTTCATTTGTTGGTTTTGAGAATTAAATAAAGCAGGACATAATAAAGCTTTTACTCAGTGTTAAACTGTTTTTGTTGTATATTTGTCATTGGCCTCATTTTAGTTATTGTTGGTAGTATTAGTATTATTTAAGCATTTACTTGGTCTTAAAGAAAAGTTTTAAATTTCACCTCTTCTGTTAAGAATACTGTAATTCCAAAGGCTACCTATATTCTGAAATAATTCCTTTTTATACCCCAGGTATTTTGCCTTAAATTATTATCAGGAATTCTCTTTCCTGCATGGAAAGCTTTTAGAAATCAAGAAGTATGTCTTTTGGGCGGCGCCTATGGCTCAAAGGAATAGAGCACCACCCCATGTGCCAGAGGTGGTGGATTCAAACCCAGCCGTGACCAAAAAAAAAAAGAATTATGCCTTTTAATGACTTCTTCTGGAATTAACATAGTGTTTGATGTGTATATGTATATAGAGTCTATCCTCATTATTCACAAATTTTGTATTTGTGAATTTGCCTAAAATTTGTTTATGACCCCCAAATCAAAACTCTTGGCATTTTCTTAGAGACATACAAAAATTTAAGTCAGCTAATGTACATATTCCCAGCTAAGTTCAAACAAGGTAACACTCTAGCTTCTTGTTTTAGCTCTCATACTATAAATGAGTGTCCTTTTCATGGTCCATTTAATGCCATGTTCAGTGCTTTTTGTTGGGGATTTTGCTGTGTAAAATGGCCCCCAAGCACAGTAGTAAAGTGCTGGATTGTGTTCTTCAGTGTGAGAAGGCTGGACCATGCCTATGGAGAAAACACATATGTTAGGTAAGTTTTGTCAGGCATGAGTTACAGTGCTTTTAGTTGTGAGGTTTATGTTAATGAATCAAAACACATATGTGGATGTGTGTTATATATAAAAAATAAGGTGTCTTTAAACAGAAAAACAGTTCTCAAAAGTGATATATTGATCATTCATCAAAAATATGACCAGAATCTGACAGAAACCTAACTAACTGTATTTCCCGTGGAAGCAATGGTTCAATATTCACTAATTCATTGTTCACAGCAACTTTATAATACTTAAGTACCATTAACAATGAGAACTGACTATATTACGTATTATATTTATAAATCCATGCTCGATAAAAAACTCTAAGATGAATAGTCAAATGCCATCAAAAAGCCCTAAGCCAGAGATGAGTTGTTAGAAGTAGTAACAACAATTTCTAAGATGTTTGTACTTTCCTAAAGTATAATTATATTTTAGGCATATAGTAACTTTTGAGTCTAATATAATTATCCTCCATTTTACAGATAAGGAAAAGGCAGGCTCCAGGTCACTCAACAGATTAAGTGAGCCCAGGATATTTGATGCCAACTCACACAATTTTGCCAGTCCTCCACTGCTACTTTGTATCTTCAGGAATGTTTTCAAGTTAATGTAACCAGAATTAAAAGAACAGTCTTAAAAAGTAAGAATTAACAGAAGATGTAGAGAATTTTTCAAAGCATTTTGTTTGGGCATCAACTACTCATGCACTTAGATATTCATAGCAATCTCTTTATCTTTTCTCCAACAAATGGGTATCCCAATATCATAGTTCCTTGAATCTAAACAAGTTTTTTCACATTTTATTTTGTAAAGTGAGGATTTACCTAATAATTTGTGCATTTGAGAAAATATTTAATAGATTAAAAACCGATTAATTTGTTAAGTATCTTAAATCAGCAGTGCTCTGAAATAAAGGAAATACTGAAGGAAAAGTAACTTATTTCTTGTTAAGTGTCTAGTATACGTCAAGCATTGCATCGAGTGCATTATGTACATTACTTATTTAATCATCACAACAATCCTGCAGCTATTCTTATCCTTACTTCTCCATCTTAGAAATGAGGAAGCTGCCAGTCATGTGTCAGAGTCATCAACTTTTAAGTAGAAGTAGCGGCCTAGCTACCCAGGCCTGTCTATGCCCTTTAATTATGCCAAGCTGCCTTTTCTTCTGGAAACAAACTTAAATTGCATAAGGGGATGTAACACATATCCTTACTTAACTATCCTTTCTGGGCAACATAACTAACATATCTTAAAGGTCACTTTGTTCAGAATGAATCTTTAGAATGATCTCTTCTTCCTGGTGACCATATACAGAATTAAATGAAAAATTACATCTAACCTTCTTTCTTTTATCAGTTTTCACTGAGATTTCTTACATTTGATAGACATTTTTAAATGGCCTTCTTATTTCCATTACATTTGTTCTTCCATTTGTAATATAGCTTGAGTATCCCTTATCTAAAATGCTTAGAACCAGAAGTATTACAGATTTTGGATTTTTTTATTTGGGAATATTTGTACATAGTATATACATAATGTGGATGGGACCCACTTCTAAACATCAAATCCGTTTATGCCTTATATACTTTAATGTACACAGCCTGAAGGTAGTCTTGTAGAATATGTTTAATAATTTTGTACATGAAACAAAGTTTGCGTTAAGTTACTTAAATGTAGAATTTTTCACTTATTGCATCATGTCACTGCTCAAAAAGTTTCAAATTTGGGAGCATTTCAGATTAACGTTGTTCAACCTGTATGTGAAAATGTTTACATTTTACTGTATAACATTGAATCTCTGCTTACTGCTCAGATTTAATGAGATAAACAGTCAACTTTCCTTTATTTTCCTGTCTTACAGCTAATGGTTGCCGAAAAGAATGGAATAATCCGGTTTTATGATCTTTTGGCTCAGCAGGCTATTTTGTCTCTTGAATCAGAACAGATGCCATTAATGTCAGCACACTGGTGCTTAAAAAATACCTTCAAAGTTGGAGCTGTTGCAGGAAACGATTGGTTAATTTGGGATATTACTCGATCCAGGTACTTCCTTAGTATATTTATCTATGTTTTATAAAAGCATCAATTAACTACTGCTGAATGATCCTCTGGGCCACACTGCAGGGTGAAACATGTCTATACTATAGAAGGGCCAGAGCTAAGGGTTTTCTTTTTCTTTTTTTTTTGCAATTTTTTGGCCAGGACTGGGCTTGAACCCACGACCCCCAGCATATAGGATCGGCACCCTACTCCTTGAGCCACAGGCCGGCTAGAGCTATGGTTTTTCACTTGACAGATCTGGTGATCTGTGAACTTTTACCTAAAATAATTATGCTTTGCAGATTTCCTTTGGGAGTAACATAGGACAACATAGAGGAAGAACTCTTAGATCTAAACAGTGTTTACTTGTGTTGGAAAAAAAGAAACCACCTACCCTGTTGAATGATGATGCCCTGTAGGGGTTCTAAGTCATAGCTTTATCATATTTCATCTATTTTTAACTGAAAACCTATTTGGAATTTTGTTGCAGTTTAAGTACATTGGCTTTTCTGTACTTTAAAAAGAAAATACCTTTTAAACCTTAAGTTCTTCTGTGTAAGTCTTAACACATAATTCATAGAATGTAAAATATTCTCTTTCAGTTATCCTCAAGATAAGAGACCTGTTCACATGGACCGAGCCTTCCTATTCAGGTAGCATACCATTTCTGTTGAAGTTATAATTGATTTTTTTGTCTTTGTGCTGTGCCAATACTAGAATACTTTCCCAGTCCTCTCCTTTGCACTGGATTTTTTTTTCCTGATTGTTGTATAAGTGATTATTTTGCTTTCCCAACTAAATCTCTTTTAGTCTAGGCAAGGAGTTGATTTGTTTTCCAAATGTTTCCTTTTAAAAATGTCATAACACACACACAAAAACTTGTAGCCACTCCACCAGTACCACTCCAACATTTTGGAGTATATTATGCTTCTTACTATTTTGTGCTAATAAAAATGTAAATGTAGGTGATCTCATGTTCATACATAAAACTTGTGCTTTAGGTGAAAGCAGGCGAGGTAGCATGTATCTGTGACATTCTTTTCATTTCAACATACATATCTACCTTGTTCCTTTTCATAATACAGGGTGTCCTTAAAGCTCATGTGCGATCTAAAATAATGTGCAGTTTTAAATTGCACACGAACTTTCTGGACACCCTATATTCTCTCATATGGTCATTAATCTTCCTTCTACTTTAAGTAACAGCAAAACTAAATAACAAAGACTGAAACCAATGAAGTATTCGTTTTGTATTTCTTCATATCTAAAATATACCCAATAAAGTTATAGGACTTGGGAATACTATTATTAAGAATAAATACACTCAACTAAATATATGAATGCCATAGATTGTAAGAGGTATCCTCACTTCAGAGATGTGAGCAAATATACATTTTAAAATCAGTGATATGTGTTACTTAAGCTTGGAGGAGGAGGTCACAGGGTTCATTTTGCAGCTATTCAGTATCATCAGGAGCTTGGACCCTTTTCATCTAGTCCCTGTGCCATTCCCAGTGGCTGGCTGTACAGGCACCCAGCGCAACACCTGGCTATTTTTTGTTGCAGTTTGGCCAGGGCCAGGTTTGAACCCGCCACCCTTGGTATATAGTGCCAGCACCCTACTCACTGAGCCACAGGAGCCACCTGTAACTTTGAAACTTAATGAAGTGGTACACAATAAACACTTAATACATTTTCACAGAATGAGAAAATACATATAGCTAACTAGCCTGGAATTCCCAGTCTAATTGTAAAGCCATAACAAATTCAGAAATTACTAAAATTATCGCTTTTGTGCAAAAATAAATAACCTGTTTGTTTCAGAAAAGCTTGTTATCCATAGGATACTATACTTATTTTTATACTTTCTTATTTCTTAGGTGGTCCACAATTAATGAAAACTTGTTTGCAACCACTGGTTATCCTGGCAAAATGGCAAGCCAGTTTCAAATTCATCATTTAGGACACCCTCAGGTAATGTAGAAATGTTCTGTGGCATATGCATTTTTCTTTATTTGTGTAGCTTACTTTTCTACACATAGCCCCCAAATTTGTAGCTAAAGACATTTATGTCTGTTATCTACTTAAATTGAAAGAGAAGACTTTTTTATATTTAAATCATTAGTGACTACATTTTTTTTTTGCCAATATCCATGTAAGAAACTTCTTATTTCTTCTTGCTTTTATGTTTTCTCCTTCATTTAAACATAGTGATTTAATTTTGCTTGCTTGGTTGCTTGCTTGGTATGGGCTATAAAAGGGTCCAGGCTGTACAGGTTATTCAAAGGACTATAGCTTTCATTCCAGCCTATTGCAAATACATAATGTATATTTCATCTCTGAGGGGAACATTTTTTAATTATGTTTCTGCCATAAGCAAAGATAATTTATCAGTGCATTTCTTATTTTTGAAAGTAATTTTTATTTGTATATTTGGGGGAATTTATCATGCTTCTTTCATTCTTCCCATATTTCATAGCCCATACTCACTGGTTCTGTGACCATTGGATCTGGCCTTTCCTGGCATCGAACTCTCCCACTGTGTGCAATCGGAGGAGACCACAAGCTATTGTTCTGGGTGACTGAGATGTAAAAGAAATTTTCATTGTACTTAGATTAAAAAACTTGGTATTTTTATTACATATTTTGTAATATTCCTTATTTTTCTATCAAATATACTGTAAAGTCTAGAAATACCTGTTTTTGTTTTGTTAAATAAAATATTAATGGTTTGAAAAACTATTTTCCTTTTCTATGTGTGTGTGTATATATACGTATATTTTTCTTCATCATCTTATAAAACTGTATAATTGACTCAGCATCTCTGTTTCAGGGCATAGATGACTAATGAAAAATAATGCTTTTGATTTTTCAAAAGATTAATCAAAGTATATCCTATTTTCTTTGCTTTAAGTGTATGCTGTTTTCCTAATTCTCAGAGACACAAACATTTACAAAAGGACTCAGGGAACTCTAAAAGTGAGTGAATGTATGTATGTCTATGTGCACATGTTTTAGCAGTATGTGTAGTGATACTGTAACTCCCTGTAAAGATAAATAATTATTCAAATTAATATAAAAAATGGTTTGTAATTTCCTAAAAATTTGATGATCATGTCAGTCAACCCTGTTTACTGTGTGCAAATTCCTTTGGGACTAGATGTTTCAACATTCTTAGAACACCTGAGATAAAGCTTACCTTGAAAGTAACTTTATTTATTTTATTTTTTTTTTTTTTTGAGACAGAGCCTCAAGCTGCCCCCCTGGGTAGAGTGCCATGGCATTACAGCTCACAGCAACCTCCAACTCCTGGGCTCAAGCGAGTCTCCTGCCTCCGCCTCCCAAGTAGCTGGGACCACAGGCGCCCGCCACAATGCCCAGCTATTTTTTGGTTGCAGCCGTCATTGTTGTTTGGCGGGTCCGGGCTGGGGATTCGAACCCGCCACCTTAGGTGTACGTGGCTGGCGCCTTAGCCGGGTGAGCTATAGGCGCCGAGCCGAAAGTAACTTTATATACTTATAACAGCCTCTACCTTTATTATAGATCTTCACCTTTCTTACCAAGAAACTTAAATTTTTTAAGGTGGTATCTAGTAGCAATAGAACTGTGTTCATAACTCTCAAAAATCACTAAAATCAGGATTATGTAATATACCCATGTCATATTTTTGTGACACATTATGATATACTCAGAGAAATATAAGATCATGATTCTTCTTGTCAGTCAGGGATAGAGTTAAATAAATTCCTACAAACTGTCCATTCCTTCAAGTTAATGCCCTCTCTGAAGCTATATTTCCTCTAGTAAAAATACAAATCGTTCATGTTATGAGAATTAAATAAAGGTGAATAAAAATACCTATTGTGTGTCTGCCACACAGTCCAGAGTTACAGACATTACTGATATATCTCATAGATATATAGTTCTTATTTTTGAGAATTTAGAAATTTTAATAACACCAATAAATATTTTTTACTCAAGTTTTCTTTTCTTTTTTTTTTTTTTTTTTGTAGAGACAGAGTTTCACTTATATCCCTCCATAGAGTGCTGTGATGTCACAGCTCGCAGCAACCTCTAACTCCTGGGCTTAAGTGATTCTCTTGCCTCAGCCTCCCAAGTAGCTAGGACTACAGGCATCTGCCACAATGCCCAGCTATTTTTTTGTTGCAGTTTCGCTGGGCCGGGTTTGAACCCGCCAGCCTCGGTATATGGGGCTGGCACCCTACTCACTGAGCCACAGGTGCCGCCCGACTCAAGTTTTCTATTCATAAAATGTCTCACAGTAATTATCTTACAGAGTCAATGCTCTGAGTAATTAAAAAACTTTGATGCATGGCTCGGCACCCATAGCACAGTGGGTTGCGGCGTCAGCCACATACACCAAGGGTGGTGGGTTCGAACCAGGCCCAGGCCACCTAAACAACTGCAACAAAAAAATAGCCGGGCGTTGTAGCAGGTGCCTATAGTCCCAGCTACTTGGGAGGCTCAGGCAAGAGAATTGCTTGAGCCCAAGAGTTTGAGGTTGCTGCGAGCTGTGAGATCATGGCATTATACTGAGGGTGACATAGTGAGACTCTGTCTCAAAAAAAAAAAAAAAAAAAATTCAGTGCAGTTTTGTATTCATGTACTTGTTTAGGGGTCAACTGTTTACATGCTTCAAGCAGGGGTCCTCACACTTTTTAAACAGGGGACTGTCCCTTGGACCATTGGAGGGCCAGACTGTGGGACAAGTCCGCTGCTAAATAAGCAGGACAGGCAGCAGCGGCAAAAACACCTGGCAGGCTGGAAAATGTCCTAGGCAGGCCACGTGTGGCCCGCAAGCCGTAGTTTGAGGACACCTGCTTTAAAATATAGGTGAAAAAATTACACAGCAATTTCTAAGCCATTATACAGTAAAAACATTATTATCAATATAAATTGTTTCCTAATTTTCAAGCAGATTTTGAACTTAACAAAGGAAAAGGCAAAGGACAAAGAGATTTGACATGGTTCTTTTTGACAGTCTCTGTGATGGGACAAACAATCCTAAAAGCATCAGGATAGGTCAAAGTCATACAGAATTGGTGACTGTTACAAGAATTTGTTATTTCAGGATGCACCCAAAAAATAAGGAGGTCATCCCTTGCACCAGTATACTTGAAAATTGTTGTCTTATACTTAGAAAAATTGGTGTAGGAATTAGGGAGGTTATATTTAGTGATGGAGTTTTGGGAGATGAGCATATCAGGCTTGGATATCTAGGAAATGGATTCTCTGGAGTTAGGGCTTATCCAAATGAAAAGTTGTCTGATGAAACCATCCAATAGAACTACGATATATTATTAGGGGAGGCTATCTTGGGAAAAGAACTATATGTGGTCATGTAAATACAGTTACACCAAAAAGAGGTAGGAAGTGTTATCCTCAAAAGAAAGAAAACAGTGATTCCATTTGTGAATTAATATAGTAGCTATAAAATAAAACATTATCAAGAAATGAGATGGTTGCCATTACCTCTTAGTTTCAGGAGTGCAGCGTACTTCATTCTGCATAAGCATTGAGAACTCTAACCTATTTCTTTAGATCTTAAATATAGGCTATCAGACCATTTTCCAACTTATACTTCATTGTTAAACTTTATTGTATTCAATTATTTTGAAATGCTGTAATGATATTCTTTTCCCTTAGTAAACTTTGTTCTTTGAAATATGTTTAAGACTAAAACAGGAGGAAATATTTATGAGGAATTATTGGTCATCACTTCTAATTTCTGATAAATAACGTGAGATCTGATACTGTATGTCCCAGTTTGAGTTTTTCCATATTTGTTTATAAATATGTCTAAGAGGGTTTTTCTTCTGTTGAAATCAAGCTTTCCTCAGAATTACTTCACCACAACATCATGGAGAGGAAAAGGAAAAAAAAAAAGTTGTACTTTTGTTCTAAAACTTGTGTTATTTAGGACTGTGGAAGCAAAAGTCAGGATATCACAAATCTGCAAGATGTCAGAGCTAAATCCCACTCTTTCAAAATGATGGGATCCTAAGTCCTATTTTATTTTTATGATTTGGCTTGTATGTTGTGAATATTTCAATGTCTCTTCCATGCCAAAACACAAAATCACACACCCATGCACTCCAATTTGTTTCTTCAGTAATTTGTGACTACATATTGACACTGACCTAGAAATGTTTCTGTTGCTGTTTTAAATCTCATGTCAGTGGAGAAGAAATAGAAATCTGGTTTGCACATTTGTGTCTGGTTTTTTCTAATTGTTCAAAATCTGACATTGTCCCAGAAATGCTGATTGGGAGGTTCAGAGACGATATTGTGCCCAAGACTAATTTTAATAGTTCTTAGCAGAGAAAAGGTAGTTTTTCCAGACTATCTCCTGTCTTTTTCTATAGCTCAAAAAGTTAAACTCAATTTAACCTAACTTTAGACCATACCATACCGATGGTAGCCTTAGTTCTGAGCCCAAATAAAATTTGCCAAGCAAAGATGATCATTATGATGATCCAGTTCAACATATTCCTCATGAGGCTTTGGTCAAGTCCTCAGAAGCATCATTCTGTTCCAATAAATCTTTGTCAAACTGTCTGTGTGCTCAGTAACAAGGACAGGAGAGAACACTCTGTGTCTTTAATCTTAACACCTTGCTCGTTCAAAAACATTTATTTTAATAGGCATTTGAAAAGTATTTCAAAACAGCTGACATTTATTTCTAATTACACAGAGAAATAATGTTCTTTAAATCATAGCTAGAAATTTTCCTTTTATTTAACATGGTTTTAATTTATAGCAACCCTTTGTTACCTAAGCATAATAACAACAACAAAGTAATCAGGAGATCAGACTTAAAGATCTCATTTCACAAAAGGATAAAAGAATACACATGTTATGATATATCTTTTTTTCAAACTCAAGCAGTTTCTTTTGTATGCAGGACATAAAACTTCATGGAAAATCAAAAACAATCTGCTTTCTGGCCTTTTCAGCTGTTCTTCAAACTACCCCAGTAAAAACAATTGTTGCCCTTAAGGATCAAGTGACATTTATCTGAAAATTTCACTGGATCAGCTTATTTTTGTTTAGCTTAGATTATAGTTATATAGCTGTTTGCCTTTTCAACTAATTTTTAACAACATACAGTGTTTTTGCCTTGGGACTTGTGATACTTAAAGTAAGCTAACAAAATTGACATGAATGATGGCAAGGAAAAGGACAGGCCACCAGGTTTCTCAATCTTTGCAAAAATTTGATTTAAAGATTTTTGAAATACCCATTTCCACTAACTGCATTTATAATGCTGTATTGAGTTGAATTTCAGTTTCTTTGTGGTAAAAGACCATAAATATTGCTGGCATCTTTGTTTCTAATGGCAAACAAAAAACTTTGATCTTTCTTACAAACACAGCTGTTGTCCTACCATTGCACCAAATATAGACAAGATTAGGCTCTGGCCAAAATTAAGGTTCATCTTTGCAGTGATCTCAAGAGCTTTCTAATACTGTTTTAGAAAATCTCTGGGTTTTTTGTTTTTGCAGTTTTTGGCCAGGGCTGGGTTTGAACTCACCACCTCTGGCATGTGGGGCCAGCGCCCCACTCCTTTGAGTCACAGGCGCCACCCAAAATCTCTTTGTGGGCAGTGCCTGTGGCTCAAAAGGATAGGGCGCAGGCCCCATATGCCGGAGGTGGCCGGTTCAAACCCAGCTCCTGCCAAGAAAAACAAAAAAAGAAAATCTCTGTTTTTGAGACAG